CAATGTTCAAACTCGACTTTGAAATAGAAGCTTTTTCATTCTTATCGTATACTGGACTCCCCTGCAAATCCTAGTGTTGAACTTTAGGTTCGCAACGCAGTCAGCGGGAAGAGTTCAAGCAAAAAGCGGCAAAGTAGTGGCGCTTCGCTTGCTGAACAGTTCATTCGTTTCTTGGAAAATGAATCGGAGTCGGCCAGCACGGCTCCCCACCTGCCCGTCGCACCCAGGGAATCAACTCCTGGACCATCGATCACTCCTCCACTGTTAAATCCCTCAGGATTACAACCAAACAGTTTGGACATGGTATTGAAATGAGCTCATATGATTATAGCATTAAGATACAGGTGTAACAGGTGGGGTGAAGATACTCGTCTCGCATAAGCGTTTGCTGTGACTTAAGAGAAGCCTTGTGATAACTACAGATAAAATTCTATAGTATGAGCATACACTTTTTTGATTGATTTTTATTATTTTTAGTGTGTTTCATCACAGACATGTGGAAGTCGATAGAACAAAATCTAAATTCAACAACACGAATTTCAGATACCAGTCAACGTAGAGCGGTAAAAATGAAGGAACGATACATTGAATTAAAACGAGCATCGTAAACATTAAGGAAAACGGGACAAATCATAATGACCTCATATACTCTAAAACACAATGGAGACCTCGTAAAACACTGAATGAGGAAAGCGAAGATCATTTACAAGACTGAGAGGGGAAGAATAGCTGTACAGAACTCGGGCAGAGTGGAGACCTAGCTGCCAACCGTAGGCGGCGCCAGGAGGAATTGACTACGGTAGTCGATCTCGGTTGCACCCACAACGGACCTAAACATCCAATTCTTGCAACAGCTGACACTTTTTACATGTTTAATTGCTAAAGTCGAAACTCTCCAACAAAGGGAAGTTATAAGCATGCGAAAAATGTAATTTTTATTCTAAGATCGCCGGCAAGAGGAAAAGTTCTAAGACTATCAGGACAATTTTCTTGAGTTCCGACCGTAATACCGTTTTTTTTTGTCATTTAAGCTACGGCCTCTTTGATTTGCATCAACTCATGTATTACAGAAGTTTTGATATGTGTCACACCACAGCAAGTAAATCAGTCGTTGTTCAACAATAATAGTGAAATGAGATATAAACACACACCCTTTGACATTAACGGGTGGCTGTTTTGCAATCGGATGGTCACCAGTACGCGCTTCCTCCTCGCTTGACAGGACCGGGTATATCTGTGCGCCCATCGATGGAGTAACCCATTCCGAGGACGAATTTGACTCCGAAGGTGACCCGCTAGCTTCCCGCCACTCATCCGACACTGGTACAGCTTCATACTCCT